GGCGACCGACTGCTCAGATCGGTAGTTTTACGTGGTTTCTCACCAGGTGAATGCCGGAGCAATAACAAGCCCTGAACCGCGCTCAATCTTTCTTTCCTCTTCATAGATCTATCCTCATCCTTACTTACGCCTTGTAAATAAGATGATATATAGGTCGGCACCGGACCTTGCCGTCTAGCCGGTTGATCATCATCGCCATCTCCCGCGATAAAACCACGCACTTCTCTTACGGGGCGAATGACTTCGGCCGAGGACGCGGCCGGACGCTCCGCCGAACCGTGGGCGTTGTGGCCGGGCAGTGGAGCGCAGCGGCCACCGCGCGCCGTCCCCGCTGAGGGATGTGGCCGCACTTATCACCCCCCCCCCTGGGGATGACGGATGCGGCGCATCGATTCATTGTCTCCGTGGAGGCAGGTGCCGCCGCTTACGACGCCCTCCGTCATCCGAGGCGGCGCCAGCCACCGCAGGGCGAGTTGCGAGGCCTGCTTACACAGGCGCGCGCCAGACAAGCTGCCCCAGGGATGCGGATATTAACTGTTCTATGCCACAGATAGAAACCGTTAGAAAGAGGGAATTACTTTCATTGACTCTAACGCAAGTTTCTCGAGACTTGCAAGGAATGGTTTCTTCCCGCCTTGCCCGGCTTCCCGTCCCGCGTTCCAAGTCCGCATTTACGCTATTTTCCCGTCTTTTCATGTCACTATAGGAAAACACGAATGGCAGACACTATAAGAACCAACGAATACGATACTACCACTATCATCAGCCAAAAAAAATGGTGCAGTACCACTCTTTTGATGTCCTTGATTGAACCCTCTTCCACAACCAAATGCATCTCCGCGTCCTCCACCTTACTAACTTTCGCATCTAACGGGTACTTACTACGTCTGATCATTACCACCGCACGTCAGTTCCGATTCACCCCGGTATCCATGTTACTAATTTCGAATATGCGTACAAATTGACGGAAAATGTGTATGGGAAAATACAAAAACAAGGAAGTATTTCGATTTTCAGGAAAAATTCCAAATATTTGATTAATCAGTAAGTTTTCATACGCGATCTTACAACTCTGTTCTCACACTCGGGGATTCTCTGCCCCCGTCGAAGTTGACGCCATGCGACGAAGACGCCCCTGACGATTTGGTGTTGCAATCCACTAGTTCTTTTATATGGAGGGTTGTCTGTGCACAATAAGCTCCTGTTGTGAAGATACAATCGGATTCCCCAATCATATGCGCATTTTCCCGAGAAGCATTTTTATGCCACACACGTAATGGAGAGAAATCTATGAAACTCGAGGATATAGGAGTCGCACTAATTTTCCTAATAGCGCTCCCGGGGAATTCATTATAAAAAACTTCGGGTCCATTTTTTGGCCACGCTTCTCTACTACATGAACACTTCCTTGAAGAGAAGCATCTAATTCTTGAATCGAATGTCCCGGCCCCACCCCAGGGTGCGCTCTGGCGGCCCCAAGGTTTCGGACTTGTGCGCTTTTAGCCTCTTCGCCTGGACTATCGGTCCAACCGGCTCTGCGCAGCCACGTGGATTTTTGGCACACATGTCTTCAGAAACTTGTAATTTCTGCTTGGATATAATTAGAGACGTGATCCCTCAATTGGCTAGCCTGGAACTTAAAATTGTCTATGGTACGAATCACGATGTGACTTATTCCACTTTAGAATTGACTATCACTGAAAACCATCTGCTAATACTAAAGTGGTACTTTTATTATGCGGCACCTACAACGACAAAGACACATAGACCGCTTTAGAATTTATACATGCTCACCTGTTCTAATGAAAGCCTTAGGCCCTATATTAGTTCATAATTGGTACATAACCACGTGAGCTTTACCTGCAATCACTAGTTGAAAATTCAAGAGTTATGGCGGTTACATTCGCAAATTTGAGGATTTTAAAACAACCACTAATTAATCTTCACTTTCTCCTATTAACAAAATTTAATTCTTTTTTCAAATTGCAGAAGATTCTTAATTGTTAAAACTCAAAGATATTTATCTGAGTAAGTTCACACGTGGTAATTGTATAAAAAGAAAATATAAAAACATATTTTTCAGAAGTTTATAAATCCCTTTACGTTTTAGATAAAAATTAATTTTGGAGATTGTTTCGTACATTTTCAACAGAAAACGCCAACTTGACAGGCGCAAGAGTTCACGGTATCAGAGGCAAAGAAAAGTAGTGTAAAAGAACCAGGGCAGTCATGGCGAAGATGTATGGGGGAGTGGTGGCGGATGCGACAACCCGTACCCACACCGAGATAGTTATAAGATCGGCTATTATCTGTCGCAACCACTATTTCAATATTTTACGTCTAAAAAAATAAATGGTATTTCTCGACAATTTGACAAAAAAACAATTTCTGAAGGGATTTTTTTTTATTTTTAATTGTCCAGATTCGAAAGTGTTTAATGCAAGGAAGTTCACTGGCGATACTTAAATCAAGTGAACTATTTCATTTCCTCTTTCTGGTTGAACACAGTAGTAGGTTCCATGAATTTACAGCCTGACGCTCCAACTTGAGGGCGGTTCGCAGCGTGAGGCAACGCAACACCAGGGCTAGAGTTAGGCAACCCCGCTGGCGAATGGAGAAGGATGAGGAGGGGGTGGGGTGGTTTGCGAGCGCGTGGGCGGATGATAAGAGGGCCGGCGGCGCCGGAGATAATGGCAGCCGGGGGTGCGGGAGGGGCTGGGGTGGGGTGGGGTGGGTGGGAATGGGGGTGGCGGGCGGATGCGACAATTCACTTAGCGACCCCGAGGCGCCGCTGCCGATCCATCACGGCGCCGCCGCCGCGCCGCCGCCTCTTCCCTCCCTCCCTTTCTCGCTCGCTCGCACCGCGCTGCGCTGCCTGCTACTTTTCCTGGAGAGCGCCTCCGCCGCCCCGCCCCCCGCCGCTGCCACAGCCACTCCTCACACGCGCTGCACTCCCTGCGCTCACCGTCCAGCTCTCGACAGCTTCAATCCATTTCCGTTCGCCGTTTTAAACTATGTTCAATGATATATTGTAACAACATTAGGTGTGACAGGATAAATGATGCAAACTTCTATGGGATTAGAGAGATCAATGACGATTGTTTTGTTTGCCATTGAATATGTGAACACAAATGCTAACATGGAAAATATGCATATGTGAGTTTTGCCCCCGATAGTGAAATTCGCATTCACCTGGCAGGTTCGGCAGGTACCCCAAATATTTTTGTGACAAAACGTGACTTGTCGAACACGAACACGTACATTATGAGTTGCCTAATAGTTAAGGGTAAATGGAATAGGTGCAACTTCATTATATGAACGGACCACATGTTCACTGGACAAAAGTGATGGTCTTGGACCCATCTAGGGTATGTAATATTTGTTCTCATACCTCTGTATTCACTTGTGTGATGTATGTATGATCTTCACTTCATGGAATCGGCTATTACCTCATTGTTTTTGGCTAATTAATGATTGCAATTTAACTATTTAGAAAAACTTTGTTTTACTTTGAAATAAAAAACGACTCTTGATAGCCTAAAATAACAGGGACCACGTATAATACCCGCTCAGCCATCACTGCGTGTACGATCTCTCTCATCTTTATTTTAGTAGTGACATTTAGGGTCAAATCGAAATATTTAAAAAAAATTTTTTTTAAAGAAAACATATCAACACATATTGAACATTTGAGCATTTTTCACTGTGGTGAGTGAAATTTATTCAAACTGTATTGTACGGTACCAATACATAATGTCCGTCTTAGGCATATACGTACGTTACTCCAATGTAACGCCAATTCACATTATTAATTTAAATTAATTGTATATTTTATGTCCTTGCACTTTACAGATTTCGTACAATCATTCTTTTCATTTGAAATCAATTTTTCTCCAACCTCTTTCAATGTGCAGTTCAACAAGTTTATTTTGGCTGACTAAAGCGTAGCAGTGAAAGAATTGTCAACGACAGTGTGTGTAGTGGAAGCGAGCATGCGCAGAATATTGAAAGAACTTCAATTGAAAAAGGTTTCTGACAGGTGGTTTCCAGAAGATGATGATTCCATTCTGACGCAGAGACATTGTAACTTTAACATTAAATAAATGCAGCTTCCTTATTATATTCCCGTGGTACCCATATCACCGACCAACAGGGATAAATTATTCCGAGAATTTTAAATTACCATGTCACGACGTTCTCTTTTTATGGCATCGCCGCATGATTATTCCTGCAATACTGTACGAAAAAAGCACGGAAAATTCGAATTTACATGTTCGAAAATGCAAAATTATCTCACCTCCTCAATGTTAAAACAATTGTACATGCCCTCATTTAAAGATCTGGTTTTGAAGACGAGGTTTAATTAAAGAAAAAGTCTCTATCTTCAATTATGCACTTGTAAGAAGACGCTGAAAAAAATAACTTATCGATCATGGAACAAATTGGGAGAAAATTCGCTGGACATTTTTGGCGCTAGCGTTAACCTGCGCTAGCGTTAGTCACATACACGTTTTGCCATCAATCGATTTTTCGGTATCAAGGACCCTCCCTTTTAAATGGATTCTGGCCACGCAATGTGTTAGGGAAATAATTTACTGCGTTTAGGAACAAGATCTATCCACTTTTGAGTTACCAGAACCAACTATAAGAGCTTTTTGCGTGGAAAATTCACAGTTTTCCGACGTACAATTACAATATGGTCACTATACTGCGTAAGCAGTACGCAAGAGGGAAAAGCTATTAGTAGTACTAGAAACAAAGTCAGTGGAATATGATCAGTAAAATGGTTCCTTTCTTTGTTTCCCGTACGAACTGTCTAAATTCCGCTATAAATAATTAAAAGCCAATCCCCGTTTCGTCCCGGTTTCAATATTTTCTGGCTGCTGAAAACCATCTAAAATAACGGGGACGATATTCGTGGGTTACAATAAACACAATGCTCCAGGACGTATTCACAATAGATTCAATAAAACTCTGGACAGAGATTTCTTCCCGCTTACCTCTTTGTCGGAATACAAGGACTTTGCCACAATGTCGAGCAGCATTCGTGTCTCCGCTTGGAACTCATGTTTGTCACCGTCGCCTGCAAACAGAAGAAGGTGGTCACGTAAAGACGAATACAGAAGCAAAACTGCATCCTCCAAAGATACTGATGGTGAATTTGAAATGAATAATACAAATGACGCTATGAATTAACTGTATAGTAACACAGTAATTTGTGAAGTAAGATACCATTAACAACGGTACCCTTGTATTCCAGAAGCGAAACTCATCAATAGCGAAATTTACAATTGAAAAAGTATCTTTCTACTGCAGATACACACAAAATAATGAATCATAACATAAAATACCGACTTTCAAAAATGGAAACAATTATAAATACTGAAATAAATAAAAATAAATTAAAATACTGGAAATGTACATTAAACACAAAGTTTTTTCATTATGTCCAAAAAACGTGCAAACATCACAACCGTGCAAACATCACAAATGTTGTAAAATGTTAAACGTACGAAAATGTCAAAGGAATTACCGGATAATGTTAACATTTCATACCCTGTAACTTGTAGATTTTTTTTACAAAATAGAGTCAACTGTGACGGTCCATTCGGATGCCACTCAATGATTACTAAAAAGACGAAATATGATAACTAAAAACTGACGTATTTAATAAAACGAAACAGTCGAAAGTATGAAGAAATTGTAAAGACATCTAAAATTTAAAAAAAGACATCTAAAATTGAAATATAAAAATGTACAGCAAGTTTGACAGACGAGAAGAGCTGTCCTTTGTTTTAAAACTGCGCGGTGAGGAAAAAGGTGTACAACAACGCATATAGACAGACGGGTTGGCGATCGCAAGTGGCAAGTGCTAACATCGTGAAATCTGGAGTTTTCATGTAAAAGTTGGTTGGAAGGTGGTATAATGTCCTAGAGTGGTGTTCCGTAATAAGGAATATAGTTCGCGAGTGTTTCGATTTAGAGTGGGAAACGAAAAGAATGGTACCCGCGGCGAGAAGGTGCAAATAATCGCAGCAGGGGGACGACGCCATTTTAGGGGGTCCGAGGTTTTCTTTTCAAAACGAGTGCACTCGCGTGAAAGAATGCAGATTAAATATGTATGAATGAGTGTTACTGAATTTGTCTTTTTAAAGAAATGATGTATTTAAAGGGTACATTTTAAGGGTCATGTTATGATTTGGTACTATAGAAAGCTGGTGTATATACAACGGAGTGCAGAATTCGCCGTGTATCCATTTGAAAACCGGTGTTTGTCAATAAATAATTGCTGCTCATATTGATGGTATTGCTAAAATTTGTGTGTATATATGAGTAGGTAATATAAACCCAACAATAGGAGAAAGAACACAGAGAGCCATATTCCCAAATCAATATGAAAATATTTCGATTTCCTGTATAGTTGCGACTTCGCGAATTCACACACAATTTAAAAACTTGTACTGTATGAGCGTAAACTTGGCGTAACGTAATAAACTGTTATTATTTTACAGATTTTGACACACTCAAGCGTGGGGTGAAACAGGAAAGGGGTTAATTATAAGACATTTTAAATCACAAGTTTATTATCCATTACTCTACTTCCTGCATCAAACCGCCGTCGACAGTCCCTGTCATGTACGTACGTGTTGCGTTCAATAGAACCTATCCACTGCAGGAATGGGAAAAATGTTTACATATTTGAGATTACTGGATTTCTCCAACCAAACCAAATACGTTTAAAATCGAGCAGAAACTCTGGTAAGTCATCGTATCGTTACGGCTGGTATATTCATAGACGAGCAGATTTAGATTTTAGATGCAGAGATTTTTTTTGAAACACCCAGTATTCATTCTTTTGAAATACTCGCATTTGACGTTTGGCCAGAACTGACACATAACTTTCTCGTACTGCGAAATCACGTTTTAAACTTTAATTTCATTCCTCTCGAAGTTTCAAGCTGTTAGCAAGTGCGATTGCTTCAATGTAGACTGTGAATTGGGGCTGCAACAAGAAAAGAACTTCAATGCCATATTGATTTTTACAAGAGAAGATGCAATAATGTTCCAAGTCATAAAAAAATGCTGTCCGAAAGTCTCAAACGCGAGGGCGCATAGCAACCAGAGATCAGAACGCACGTGAGGACCTGTGAGTGAGGGGTCCGATGTGACACGTGTGGAATTCGAGAGTCTGCTTAATCGGACCTTTAGATCGGGTATGCGATGCTTTTGGAAAGTTGTGAACTCGTAAATGGCAAAATGTTACGGAACATGCAACCGGTCCTGCAATTTCAAATGCCTTAATAAATATGAGAAACACAATTTTGGTGTGTCGATTATGTCCATACACTTTGTTCACACCTTGCCCTTCCACGTATATATTTCACATTTTCCACCCTTGCTTGTATTTTCACAAATAAGTAGTTGCCATCACTTGTATAATGAATAGTTCCCGAATTCTCGAACCATTATGGAGTTATTAATAAAAAGTGATAAAATTTACTAAAAAATGTTGATACTTTCAAAGATTGATATTGCATTTGAACATTTTCACAGACATCTTCCAGGTTTTTGAGAAACTTCGTCTAAAATCATTTCAAGCACATGTATACACAAATGCAATAATATATAAAACACACCATTAGTAAAAATACAAACATGAGAGATATTTTTAAAAATATTGGTGACTTTTTGGGAAATAATAATCAAATGGCGTTTATGTCATGATATTCAGTGCATTTAGAATCATCTCCACAAAATGTTTAATGAAAAAATTGGGAGTGGTTTTTGAGAAAATTTTGTTTTTAACAGTGTCCATATTTCATACAAAAGTACGAGAAAAGTATTCAAAAAATATTACATTAATTAAAAACCTTTTGGAGGAGAAATTTCGTTTGAAGAAAAAAATCTTATATTTCATTAAAATATTTTCAAGAGAGTTTCCAAGAATTTTTAAGTTTTCCATTTTTCGAAAATTCAGATTTTACAGTGAAACTCGGCCTTACGCCATAAGTTTATTTCACTCTAATATTACAGGAAAAATGTAGAGGTATTTATAACAATTTTTCGAAAATACATTTGAGTTTCATGTAAGTTACTCCAAAATTTAAAAACTTATTTTCCAAAATCGCAGGTCTTCGAGTTGAGGCAAACGATCCGGGAATATTCATTTTTGGAAAAATCTCATGAATACATTACGTGCTGGTGTTGTTTAGGACGGATGGAGAAACGGACGAACTTCGTGTGTGTGTTGTGTGTGTGTGTGTGGGGGGGTCTTTTTGCGTCGGAGAAAACAAAACATGTATTTCCGTTAAAATCTCGAATTCAATATTCAGCAGCCGCATTACATTACTTTGTTTACACACCGTTTATTAATCAGCATTTACGTACTATACAAGAAAGTAATTAATGCTGATACAGAATGATGTCACAGAAAGTTTTCAATTTCCTCGTACTAGTTAGTTTCCTAATCTCTTTAATCTGGGCTAGCTTTTCGGCTCACTGTTCGTGGGTTGGAAAATGTTATTTTGCGGTACACCTGCGGCAAAGTCTATTTTGCCGCACGCGTACCTTAATGAAGCACGGCCACTAAGAACAACAGGGTACAGCAAAGTAGACAAAATAGGGGGCGATGTGTTTCAATAACTGCTGATGACTCCCATACTGAGGACGAATCCATGGGTATTCGTATTTTGAAAGTTGTCATGAATTTGTACAAACAATGAATGCACGAATGCAACGGAAGTGGCTTTGGCGTACTCGTTTCAAAATGCTGGGATCGGCTTCCCTCTTTCCTCCTCCGTAAACATTTCACTGGTACGCCAACGACTCAATTTCTTTACCAGTTATGTCAATAACTAGTTACCGTTATTTGTAGACTTTCGTTAAACGAAAAAAGTAAATTAGCCAAAAGAAGTAAGCTATGTTTTCCATCACGCTCGTCCCCCCTCTGCCAGCCAGTCCATCGCGCAAAGAGCTGGCGAGGGCGAGGTGTGAGCGCATCCGGCCGTTAACATGCATCGCGATTCAATGCGCGCCGATACGGCGCCGCTGGGACTCGTAAAGCGAGCGGTCGTCAAAAACAAATTTCCACATCATGATTGCTCCATGAAGCAATTTTGATCGGGTGAAGATTTGGCTATGCACGGCGGCGGCGGTGCGGGTGGGGGTGAACCATTGGCTATCGGCTAATTGGCATCGATCATGCGCACTCGCCCCAGTGCTGTCGGGGTTGGGGAGAGGGTGATGGGGCAACGCTGGACGGGTGGGAGGGCTGAGAATTGAAGGGCGCTGGGCAGGTAGACGGAGCTAAGATTGGATTCAAGGCGCCCACAGAGCGGCGCGTCAAATCCACAACAGGTGCGGCGCGGAAAAGTCTCCGCTAGACGCGGCAACGAAATCCGTGGACCGTTCATACCGGGGCGACAACTATGACTCAGCGTTTGGTGACAAGTGTTCCTCATACGATAAACGAAGGCAAAGGGAGCTCGACCCAGACGGGAACGAAGACCCCTGAAGGCTTGAAGGGGGACTCACACGAAACTCGAGCACCAGCGGTCGAAATGCGCCCGACTACGTTACAAAATCCGCAAAACGCTGCCAATCCGCTGCCGCGACGCTCGCCTGCCGCGCAGATCTGAACGTGCTCAAAAGGCAACACGTGACGTGAAATTTCCACTGCGGCCTTTCCGCCTAGGCTGCGGATCTTCCACGCAAGTCTGTGGAAGCCTTAACACGCTTCCTTTTGACGAACGATTCCGGAGTTTCAGCCAACGCGCGAATGCTCAGTTTGACAATATTTCAACTATGGGATTTAAACATGTTAAAAATTACGTTAAGTTAGAAATTCAATTCTGGATCCTTCACTTCTCCTCTCCAAGTTCACAAGAAAACAAGTAATTTTATCAAGACTCCGAATTGGCCATTTCAATTTGAGTCACAGTAATTTATTTAAAAAGACAAATCCTCATTCGTGTCCAAATTGTGTTGAAATTATTTCGACATCTGATTTATTAGTTGAATATCCTTTAACGAAAAATATCAGGAAAAACTTTAAATTTGATTCAGGTATCCATTCTATATTAA